TAAATTCAAAATGAATAATGATGGTGATGATGATGATGAAATGATGCACATGTACAAGAGTGCAACAAGTATAATAAAAGTTCAAAGTTTTTTAAAACTATTTTTTTTTTTTTTTAAATTTTAAATTTTGAAGTTTATTTTATTACATTAATGTTTTTGTAACACTAACACTTAAATATTAGGAATTGTTGACATTTTTAATAAATCAAATCTTCTGTTACTTCTCATGTGTCAACCCATATGCCATTAACTCAATTCATTGCATAGTTTAGTATACACCCTAAACAGTGTATTTATCAATGTTTACTTAAATTAGAAAGTCTGAAACTTGAGAATGACTGATCATGTAGGTAAGAAATAGCCATAAAACAATCACTCGCTGTTCAAATCCAAGATGGAGAGCCATAGGCCATTTTGTTTTTCAGATCATTTTAAATATGGGACAATGCTTAACTAGGTACCAAGAGGAAGCTAACTATGAAATTTGAGAAGAATCCTGTCACAGCAATAACAAACTACTGTCTTACTGTCAACATCCAAGATGGCTGCCTGTGGGCCACCTTGATTTCAAATCAGTCCAAAAAAGGTACAATGCACAACTAGGGACCAAGGGAAACCAATACCTATGAAATATCAGAAGGATCCATCCAGTACTTTCCCAGAAATAGCGATAACAAACTTTTACTTTCAAAATCCAAGATGGCCATCTGTGGGCAATCTTGAATTCGAATCAGTCCAAAAAAAGGTACACTGCACAACTAGGGACCAAAGGGAAGCTCCATATGAAATTTGACAAAGATCCATCCAGTACTTTCTCAGAAATTGCGGTAACAAACTTTTACTTTCAAAATAAAGCTGCCATCTTGAATTCGGATCAGTCCAAAAAGGTATAATGCACAACTAAGGACCAAAGGGAACTGGCACATGAAATTTGAGATAGATCCATCAAGTACTTTCCCAGAAATAGCAGTAACAAACTTTTACTTTAAAACTCCAAGATGGCCGCCTGTCAGCCATCTTGAATTCGAATCAGTCCAAGAAAGGTGCAATGCACAACTAGAGACCAAGGGGAACCTGCATATGAAATTTGAGAAAGATCCATCCAGAACTTTTCCAGAAATAGCAGTAACAAGAATTGTTTACGGACGGACTGACGGCTCGATGGACAGACGGACCACGAAAGCAGGGCAATATGAATAGCCCATCATCTGATGATGGTGGGCTAAAAATACAACATAACTCTGGACTCTCTAAGTTAATATACATGACTCCTACATAACCCAGTACTCTCTAAGTTAATATACATGACTCCTACATAACCCAATACTCTCTAAGTTAATATACATGACTCCTACATAACCCTGGACTCTCTAAGTTAACATACAGGAGTCCTACATAACCCTGGACTCTCTAAATTAACATACAGGAGTCCTACATAACCCAGGACTCTCTAAATTAACATACATGACTCCTACATAACCCATGACTCTCTAAATTAATATACATGACTCCTACATAACCCAGTACTCTATAAGTTAATATACATGACTCCTACATAACCCAGTACTATCTAAGTTAATATACATGACTCCTACATAACCCTGGACTCTCTAAGTTAACATACAGGAATCCTACATAACCCAGGACTCTCTAAATTATCATACATGGCTCTTACATAAACCTGGACTCTCTAAATTATCGTACATGGCTCTTACATAAACCTGGACTCTCTAAATTATCATACATGAATCCTACATAACCCAGGACTCTCTAAATTATCATACATGGCTCTTACATAACCCTGGACTCCCTAAATTATCATACATGGCTCCTACGTAAACCTGGACTCTCTAAATTATCATACATGAATCCTACATAACCCAGGACTCTCTAAATTAACATACATGGCTCTTACATAGACCTGGACTCTTAAAGTTGGCATCTAGTTCTCTTGTATAACCTTGAAAATGAATGCTATGCTAGGTGTAAAGTTTGCCTTTTGAGACCACCCCCCATATGAAAGCTGTCCAATCTGGACATGAACAGAGGTAAATCAATTTGAGACTAATTATGATAATGGTTATTGATACTGGCCTACAGCACTACTACAGCCCTTAACTGGCTATTGATCTTTACCACTAAATCCTATTTATATCAGCAGTTCCCAACCATTCACTGGTTCTCTTTAGATTCCAAGTTTAAGATTTTCAGATTCTGCCAGTAAATTCATATGTATGAATTCAGACTCATTTCTGTAAATCTGTATCAATGAATTCAAACCCCAACTTCCCTTTATTCGGGCAGTAGGGTTTCTGGCTAGAAACTGAAGGGTCATAAGTTTTAGGCAAGGTGTTTTCATTATTCCTTGCTATTACAACTTAATGTATATATCAAGTTATTGATCAGATTAGTTTCTAGTTCTGTGCACACTTAAACAAGTCAAGGATTTTGTACAGAGCGCTGAGAGGTTTAGGAAAATGCAGCATTCATATTTACTATAACCAAATGTACAGAAATCCATTCAGTTAATTTATTGGAAGAAGGGTTTTTTTTGTACCAAGACAGACAGCACAGTTAAGGTTAGCTCTCATTACCATCACTTTTGATAATAAGAGACCCCTTTATATATTGTATATAGTATTATTCATATAACGGTTGGCACTAATTCTTTTAACTTCAGCATGTTTGTTATGTAACAAAAAATACATGCACTAAGGTACAGGCAAACTGCCACCTGGTGGTGACCTAAGCAAAGGCAAACTGCCATCTGGTGGTGACCTAAGCAAAGGCAAACTGCCACCTGGTGGTGACCTAAGCACAGGCAAGCTGCCACCTGGTGGTGACCTAAGCACAGGCAAGCTGCCATCTGGTGGTGACATAAGCACAGGCAAACTGCCACCTGGTGGTGACCTAAGCAAAGGCAAACTGCCACCTGGTGGTGACCTAAGCAAAGGCAAACTGCCACATGGTGGTGACCTAAGCACAGGCAAGCTGCCACCTGGTGCTGACCTAAGCACAGGCAAGCTGCCATCTGGTGCTGACATAAGCACAGGCAAACTGCCACCTGGTGGTGACCTAAGCACAGGCAAACTGCCACCTGGTGGTGACCTAAGCACAGGCAAGCTGCCATCTGGTGGTGACCTAAGCACAGGCAAACTGCCACCTGGCCCCAGTTGTTCAAAAGTTGATTAGAATTCACCACTGGTTAGCGAAAAAATCAATTTGTTGTTGCTTAAAAACACTGGTATTAAAAGCAAAATTGATACACAAAAATATCAATCTGACATGTATTAAAAAACCTGCAGCTGTGAAATATCAACAAACCTTCTCATAATTGTACAATTCATATGTAGAATTTTTCACTAATCACTGGTTCACTCTAAACAGCTCTGAGCAGCTGGGGCCTGGTAGTGACCTAAGCACCACTACAAACTGTCACCTGGTGATGACCTAGGCACCACTACAAATTGACATCTGGTGGTGACCTAAGCACCACTACAAATTGACATGTAGTGGTGACCTAAGCACCACTACAAACTGTCACCTGGTGGTGACCTAAGCACCACTACACACTGCTACCTGGTGGTGACCTAGGCACTGGCAAACTATCACCTGATGGTGACCTAAGCACCACTCAAACTGCTACCTGTTGGTGACCTAAGCACCACTACACATTGCCACCTAATGGTGACCTAAGCACCACTATATACTGTCACCTAATGGTGACCTAAGCACCACTATATACTGTCACCTGGTGGTGACCTAAGCACCACTACACACTGCTACCTGGTGGTGACCTAGGCACTGGAAAACTATCACCTGATGGTGACCTAAGCACCACTCAAACTGCTACCTGTTGGTGACCTAAGCACCACTACACACTGCCACCTAATGGTGACCTAAGCACCACTATATACTGTCACCTGGTGGTGACCTAGCACCTAAGCACCACTATAAACTGTCACCTGGTGGTGACCTAAGCACCACTACAAATTGACGTGTGGTGGTGACCTAAGCACCACTACAAACTGTCACCTGGTGGTGACCTAGGCACCACTACACACTGATACCTTGTGGTGACCTAGGCACCACTACAAACTGCCACCTGGCGGTGACCTAAGTACCAATATAAACTGCCACCTGGTGGTGACCTAAGCACCACTACAAACTATAACCTGATGGTGAACAAGGCACCACTACAAATTGACATCTGGTGGTGACCTAAGCACCACTACTAATTGCTACCTGGTGGTGACCTAGGCATCACTACACACTGCCACCTAGTGGTGACCTAAGCTTCACTACAAACTGTCACCTGGTGGTGACCTAGGCACTTCTCCACACTGTAACCTAGTGGTGACCTAAGCACCACTACAAACTGACACCTGGTGGTGATCTAGGCACCACTTCACACTGTAACCTAGTGGTGACCTAAGCACCACTATAAACTGTAACCTGTTGGTGTCCTTGGCACAGGCAAACTGCCATCTGGTGGTGACCTAGGCACCACTACAAACTGCCACCTTGTGGTGACCTAGGCACCACTACACACTGCCACCTAGTGGTGGCCTTGGCACCACTACAAACTGACACCTGGTGGTGACCTAGGCACCACTACAAACTGTAACCTGTTGGTGTCCTAGGCACAGGCAAACTGCCATCTGGTGGTGACCTAAGCACCACTACAAACTGCCACCTTGTGGTGACCTAGGCACCACTACACACAGCCACCTAGTGGTGACCTTGACACCACTACACACTGCCACCTGGTGGTGACCTATACACCACTACACACTACCACCTTGTGGTGACCTACGCACCACTATGCACTGCCACCTTGTGGTGACCTACGCACCACTATACACTGCTACCTGATGGTGACCTTGGCACCGCTATACATTGCGACCTTGTGGTGACTTAGGCATAGCTACAAACTACAGTTGGCCATGATGGTGCTGTGTTGGACTCAGAAAAGATCATTTTGTACAGCGAAGATGTACCTATTTGGTCGGCCAGCTGCTTGCCTCTCTCTGTGGATACCACTCTCTCATCCTCAAGGTCACACTTGTTTCCCACTAAAACAATCTGTGCATTATCCCATGAGTATGTCTTGATCTGAGTACACCTGCAATGTAACAATAGGGCACAGTTCAAAGAGACATAACTGCACAGAACCCAAAGGGAGATAACTGCACAGAACCCGAAGGGAGATAACTGTACAGAGGTCCTTGTAACATCTCTTCTATTCCTGTCTTTCTCTTGAATGTTCTTCACTGAAAAAAATCCTGTCTAAAAGGAAAATGGTTAATGGTGCAGGCAAGCAATAAAAAGGTGCATTCTAGGAGGCAACTACACTACATGTTAAAAGCTTTTTAAGCCTGCAACACTAGCTAACAACCATTCCAAGCTGTGCATACACAGAACCTCAAACCATCAGAAAAAGCTCTCACAAAAATCTACAGAAATTAGTCCAATGGGTTCTTGTCACACAGAATTACCAGTCACATTATTTATGGGCTATCTAGTAAAGACAATAACTAAATTTTCTTGGAACTTGTCCAACAAAAATATTATACCTATAAAGATTTATTTTTCAACAAAATAAAAACTTTCAGATCATGGAATCCATTGTATGACAAGCACTCATTGATCTAGAAAACAACATGTTTCAATATGAGCAAAATCAATCAGGAAAAAGGAAGACCAAACACTTGTAAGATTCAGATCAATGACTCCTCCTAGAGTGGAATCAGTCTGGCTACGTACCCTTATCAATTATTCTGTATTGTTTCCACATATTTTGGTTCTCATTAAGAAAATCAATGGGGAATTCCTTCGGCCATGTTTCTAGTAAGGAATGGTGTCTAGAATTTTCGAAGAGGAAAAATATCTAAAAAGAATGTTTTTGCTTTCTATAAATTTGCCCAATATTAACATTAAGTTGTACCTGTGATGATGGAGTCACAGATCTGTTGTCTCTTGGTCAAAATAACAATATATCAAAACAAACTTCCAAATTTTACAAGAAGATGTCACATACATACACAGGTTACAGAGGACTTTTTATATATTTAACCTACTGACTTTTCATTGGATTATTATTTCATCTACAATATTTCTGTTGTCATCTCCTATATAAAGAATTATGAGATACAACAATAAATATTTGAAATCATCACAGCCGTGGACACATTGATGTGTCAAAGGTGTTCTTTTATTTTATTTCCTTTACAATGTATGTATGTGAAAACTGCCCACAAACTTTGAACAAATGCAGCCTTTAATAGAAGGGGCTGGCAGTAAGTATAAGCAGGTGTAAACATAGCCAAGCATGCAAGGAGCTCGCTGTCAGCAGTGTTACCTAAGTCCTTGGCCAGTTCCTCTCCTGACTTAGTGGACACACAGCGCGACTCTTCAATGTCGCACTTGTTACCCACTAGTAAGACGCAGGCGTTACTCCATGCATGGGTCTTGATCTGAGTACACCTAGTCACAATACAAGCAGAGACAGAGAGTGACAACAGGACAACAACAAAACCATTCTCACAACATCTAGTGCTATAACATGGTCACAACATTTAGTGTTAACACCCCCACAACATTTAGTGTTAACATCCCCACAACATATAGTGTTAACATCCCCACAACATCTAGTGTTAACATCCCCACAACATTCCGTGTATTCCCCACAACATCTAGTGCTAAATCCCCACAACATATAGTGTTAACATCCCCTCAACATATAGTGTTAACATCCCAACCAAATTCCTTGTTAACATCCCCACAACATTTAGTGTTAACATCCCCACAACATCTAGTGCTATAACATGGTCACAACATTTAGTGTTAACACCCCCACAACATTTAGTGTTAACATCCCCACAACATCTAGTGTTAACATCCCCACAACATATAGTGTTAACATCCCCACAACATCTAGTGTTAACATCCCCTCAACATTTAGTGTTAACATCCCCACAACATCTAGTGCTAACATCCCCACAACATCTGGTGTTAACATCCCCACAACATTCCGTGTTAACATTCTAATAACATCTAGTGTTAACATCCCCACAACAACTAGTGTTAACATCCCCACAACATATAGTGTTAACATCCCCTCAACATATAGTGTTAACATCCCCACAACATTTAGTGTTAACATCCCCTCAACATACAGTGTTAACATCCCCACAACATTTAGTGTTAACATCCCCACAACATCTAGTTTTAACATCCCCTCAACATATAGTGTTAACATCCCCACAACATCTAGTGTTAACATCCCCACAACATCTAGTGTTAACATCCCCACAACATTCCGTGTATTCCCCACAACATCTAGTGCTAAATCCCCACAACATCTAGTGTTAACATCCCCTCAACATATAGTGTTAACATCTCCACAACATTTAGTGTTAACATCTCCACAATGTTCCGTGTTAACATCCCCACAACATTCCGTGTATTCCCCACAACATCTAGTGCTAAATCCCCACAACATATAGTGTTAACATCCCCTCAACATATAGTGTTAACATCCACTCAACATATAGTGTTAACATCCCCACAACATATAGTGTTAACATCCCCACAACATCTAGTGCTAAATCCCCACAACATATAGTGTTAACATCCCCACAACATCTAGTGTTAACATCCCCACAACATATAGTGTTAACACCCCCACAACATCTAGTGTTAACATCCCCACAACATATAGTGTTAACATTCCCTCAACATCTAGTGTTGACATCCCCACAACATCTAGTATTATCATCCCCATAACATCTAGTGTTAACATCCCCTCAACATTTAGTGTTAACATCTCCACAATGTTCCGTGTTAACATCCCCACAACATTCCATGTTAACATCCCCACAACATCTAGTGCTAACATCCTCTAAACATGTAGTGTTAAAATCCCCACAATAATTAAGAGTTAACATCCTCTAAACATTTGGTGTTAGAGGTTACATCATGTTGTAATCCCCACAAGGCCTACTTTTAACATTTATACAATTTCAAACTAAAATCAGCACGGGTAATATCACTAGTCTAATCTAAATTCTAATATACTTGTAAATACCAAGAAACCCTTCAGCACAAAATATAGTGTTGTTGTTTAAAACCAATAAAGTACAATAATATACACAGCTAGATAGTTTTTCCTAAAAACATTGCAATAAATGGTTAATAAGGCACAGCTGTAAACAATTTGATATGCAAATATAAATATGTTTAATAACTGCTACAGGCTGTGAAATATCATTGTTAAATAATGTTTATTAAGACATTACTACAAACTGTTTGATAAGACATTGCTACACACTGTTTAATAAGACATTACTACACACTGTTTGATAAGACATTACTACAAACTGTTTGATAAGACATTACTACAAACTGTTTGATAAGACATTGCTACACACTGTTTGATAAGACCTTGCTACACACTGTTTGATAAGACATTGCTACAAACTGTTTGATAAGACATTATTACACACTGTTTGATAAGACATTACCACATACTGTTTGATAAGACATTATTGCACACTGTTTGATAAGACATTATTACAAACTGTTTGATAAGACATTACTACAAACTGTTTGATAAGACATTACTTCACACTGTTTGATAAGACATTACTACAAACTGTTTGATAAGACATTGTTACAAACTGTGTGATAAGACATTACTACACACTGTTTGATAAGACATTATTACACACTTTTTGATTAGACATTATTACAAACTGTTTGATAAGACATTACTACAAACTGTTTGATAAGACATTACTTCACACTGTTTGATAAGACATTACTACAAACTGTTTGATAAGACATTGTTACAAACTGTGTGATAAGACATTACTACACACTGTTTGATAAGACATTATTACACACTTTTTGATTAGACATTACTACAAACTGTTTGATAAGACATTGTTATATGCTTTTCATTTAGACATTACTTCATACTGTTTATTGAGACAAAGTAGACATCTCCTGTTTTGTGCAGATATACTTCACACATGGACACAGACAAATACTACACTTTTTGCTGGGGGTTGTATCAGAAAAAAAAAAAAAAAAAATTCCAGATATATAATATATTACATATCTTCATCTTTTTTAACTATGTCAATCAATTAGTTTAATTCTGACCCTTGTAAGAGTTTTGTAAGGCAAACATATTCATCAAAATTTGTTTAATGGACCGATATGTTGGTTCAGATGCTAATTATACACATTTTTCTAAAAGGACACTTGATCATTCCTAATAAACATGTTTTAATTTTTGTTTTGTGGTGATATCGCTTCAAACTTGTGTATCGGGCATTTTACACTGGGGTGTACCATATTTTCCAGCCTATAACCCAGGACTCTTTTCCTTGTGAGTTCGGCGTACGGCTTATATGCCAGAGCAGCTTATATGTGGACGAAACCAAAAATATCAGCAGAATGGGAAAAAAATCTAGTATCAGTAAAATAAGTCATAAACTGTTTTACGAATACCACGTGTTGGTGACTGTAACAAATACGTCCCTAAAATAAAGGATTATCTGTGCAAAAATCATCAGTAAAGTTTCTTAAAAGTTACACTGAGAATCTGGACAAAAAGCTTCCTGTTACCTGTATATCAAACATCAAAACAATGGTCATCATATCATAAGAAAGGGTGTAGCTTATACATGGATGAAATTGTGAAAATCGTTCAAAAGCGGCTCTGCAGCTTATACACAGGTGCGGTTTACAGGGCTGGAAAATATGGTACATCTTGGCAACTGCTGGTTCTTATAAATCTGACACTACCGTGTAGACATACATGGCTTGTTGACATATGTGACATGTTAAAGATGCTACACCTAAAACAAACAGCAATAATTACCATTTGAAAACAGAATTAGCTCATTTGAGAATTAGGACACAAACCCCAGAACAATGCATGTGTAAAATGTAGATAAAAGGTATTTCTGAGAACTGTTGTCTGAAATTTTGGTGTTTCATAAAACCATGAAAAAATATCATTTATCACTTCTGATTTTCAATCAGCATTGTATATATATATATGCCTTAGTTACATTCAGATAATGAAGCACACAAAAAAACTCATAATAATCATATGCTTTTCATGTTGTGATGAATTTGAACAATAAAAATACCGGTATGCCACATAAGATGAATCGTTGACTTGTTTATTGTAATAGCACATGATTTATCCATCATATGTACACACATGTGAAATTCAAAGCAAGCTGTCTACACACATCTGATACTGAATATCACGGATTATCCAATATCAGGTCAATGTATTTATAGCATTGCTTTTTTATGTATACATATCAATATTATAAAGAATACATATTTCTAATGAACAGTCAGGTACATAAATGTAAAATGATATAGAAAGCTCCATTTTCAATCATGTACAAGTGTGTGAGTATTTAATGATCCTGTACTACAACAGGGTAGGGTCATCACAAAAATCAAATAGAATTTATCAATTGTAAAAATCTTGCTGTCCTTAGAATTTTAGATTTGTTTATCTATTATCCCATCATCATGAAGAGTATTTGATTCTACCATATCTGGGATTTGAGAAGAAAATTTTGAAGTCACAATCAATTTGACCCTTTTTGGCCCCGCCCCTTAGGCCCCTGGGGGTTGAGGACAACATAATTTACAATTTTGGTGTGCCTTAAGCCAAGGAAGATTTTTGTAAAATTTCAATGACTTTTCCAGAAATAGTCAAAATGGTTAAAAGTTCACAACGCACAACACCGGACGTAAAGGGGATCACAGCAGGTCAACCCTGAGACACTTAAATCATACAGAGCAATTGGTACGATTTGGTGCAATCCACACTACAAGATTCATTAGACAGTAGACATTTATGCTGCATTAGCATATAGAATGAAAGTCATGTTTAACTAAGATTGGTTTGGCAGCAGCAATCCACTGTAGTTGTACCTGTACAGTTTATAGGTTTGTCATTAACTTGCTTTCACATCCTAATTGTTTTAATTTGTCACTAAATATTTATTTTTAACAGCAAAATATATAGTTAAATCCTTACTTTTTTAACTTCGATAGATTTCTCTAGCAATGTACGATGCACGCTTGTCATCAATGTCCACGCATTTTATGGTACAGAAACCTTGCTTACCTGTTGTAAAATTACCATGGAGAAGCCCCCACCCCCCCAAAAAAAATAGTGCAGTACGCGTCTGTGTCTGTGTTTGTCATACATTTATGCATGGAACTTGAGATGTCTATTATGTACTATTTATAGGAACATTACTAGATACTCTTCAATAACACATTACCACAAACTATGGATATCCAACTAGACATAACTACATACTGTTTTATAAGACATGATATGTTTCTTAAGATATTGTGATACATCTTAAAAGCATGTGGCATAATGAGAAGCAAAATAGAAAAAAATATTAAATCTAAAATCTGTTTGTCACTTCATGCTGATGACCAATGCTTCCAGAACAAAATTGTTTTAGTGAGACTAACGGTGTACATGGGAGTTAGTAAAGTTACATCAAACATAACGTTACAATTTATATAATGGTACACAACAATAACTTGATCACAGACATTAGAAGATAATGGCCCAGTGAAATTTTAGATCAATACAGACCAATTTTGTCTTTGCTATGTGACTACATTTGATCTTTATTTCTTGTTTTTCCCTTCTTTTCTCATTTTTTCCCTTGTTTTTCCCCTTAAGTTATAAAACCAGAAAATTCCTCTTAAGAAATAGAAACAATAATTTTAAACTACTAAATCCAAGATGGCCACATGTCAGCCATTTTGTTTATACCTCACATACACACATAAATACACTTGACCTAAAGAGATTGACACCTGACCTACATATCTAAAGACACTACCATATCCTATAATAACCCAGGGTGTACAGTTTTACCTTCCTTATCCTGTAATAACCCAGGATTTACAGTATTATCTCCCTTATCCTGTAATAACCCAGGGTGTACTGTATTACCTCCCTTATCTTGTAATAACCCAGGATTTACAGTATTATCTCCCTTATCCTGTAATAACCCAGGGTGTACTGTATTACCTTCCTTATCCTGTAATAACCCAGGATTTACAGTATTATCTCCCTTATCCTGTAATAACCTAGGGTGTACTGTATTATCTCCCTTATCCTGTAATAACCCAGGGTGTACTGTATTACCTTCCTTATCCTGTAATAACCCAGGATTTACAGTATTATCTCCCTTATCCTGTAATAACCTAGGGTGTACTGTATTATCTCCCTTATCCTGTAATAACCCATGGTGTACTGTATTACCTCCCTTATCTTGTAATAACCCAGGATTTACAGTATTATCTCCCTTATCCTGTAATAACCCATGGTGTACTGTATTACCTCCCTTATCTTGTAATAACCCAGGGTGTACTGTATTACCTCCCTTAGCCTGTAATAACCCAGGATGTACAGTATTACCTCCCTTATCTTGTAATAACCCAGGGTGTACAGTTTTATCTCCTTTATCCTGTAATAACCCAGAATGTACAGTATTACCTTCCTTATCCTGTAATAACCTAGGGTGTACAGTATTACCTCCCTTATCCTGTAATAACCCAGGGTGTACAGTATTACCTCCCTTATTCCGAAATAATCCAGGGTCTACTGTTTTACCTCCCTTATCCTGTAATAACCCAGGGTGTACAGCATTACCTCCCTTATCCTATAATAACCCAGGGTGTAGAGTATTACCTCCCTTATCTTGTAATAACCTAGGATGTACAGTATTACCTCCCTTAGCCTGTAATAACCCAGGGTGTACAGTATTACCTCCCTTATCTTGTAATAACCCAGGGTGTACAGTATTACCTCCCTTATCTTGTAATAACCCAGGGTGTACTGTATTACCTCCCTTATCTTGTAATAACCCAGGTGTACAGTATTACCTTCCTTATCCTGTAATAACCTAGGGTGTACAGTATTACCTCCCTTATTCCGAAATAACCCAGGGTCTACTGTTTTACCTCCCTTATCCTGTAATAACCCAGGGTGTACAGTTTTACCTTCCTTATCCTGTAAAAAGCCAGGATTTACAGTATTACCTCCCTTATCCTATAATAACCCAGGATTTACAGTATTACCTTCCTTATCCTGTAATAACCCAGGGTGTACTGTATTACCTTCCTTATCCTGTAATAACCCAGGGTGTACTGTATTACCTTCCTTATCCTGTAATAACCCAGGGTGTACAGTATCACCTTCCTTATCCTGTAATAACCCAGGGTGTACTGGGTTACCTTCCTTATCCTGTAATAATCCAGGATCTAAAGTATTACTTCCCTGATCTTGTTATAGTCCAGGGTGTACTGTATTACCTTCCTTAACTTGTAATAACCCAGGGTGTACAGTATTACCTCCTTTATCCTGTAATAACCCAGAATGTACAGCATTACCTTCCTTATCCTGTAATAACCAAGGATGTACAGTATTACCTCCCTTATCCTGTAATAACCCAGAATGTACATTATTACCTCCCTTATCTTGTAATAACCCAGGATGTACAGTATTACCTCCCTTATCTTGTAATAACCCAGGGTGTACAGTATTACCTCCCTTAGCCTGTAATAACCCAGGGTATACTGTATTACCTCCCCTATCTTGTTATAACCCCAGGGTGTACTGTATTCCCTCCCTTATCCTGTAATAACCCAGGGTGTACTGTATTCCCTCCCTTTTCCTGTAATAACCCAGGGTGTACTGCATTACCTCCCTTATCCTGTAATAACCCAGGGTGTACAGTATTACCTTCCTTATCTTGTAATTACCAATGGTGTACAGTATTACCTTCCTTATCCTGTAATAACCCAGGGTGTACAGTATTACCTCAGCCTGTAATAACCCAGGGTATACTGTATTACCTCCCCGATCTTGTTATTACCCCAGGGTGTACTGTATTCCCTCCCTTATCCTGTGATAACCCAGGGTGTACTGTATTCCCTCCCTTATCCTGTAATAACCTAGGGTGTACTGTATTACCTTCCTTATCCTGTGATAACCCAGGATGTACAGTATTACCTCCCTTATCCTGTAATAACCCAGGGTGTACTGTATTACCTCCCTTAGCCTGTAATAACCCAGGGTGTACAGTATTACCTCCCTTATCTTGTAATAAGTCCACTGGCCTACAACTTCTTTCTTAAGTCAGAGGTTGGGTTTAGCTTTCAGAAAACGCCCTTTGTTATTCTACTTGACATCTATAGATATGACCGGGTTAGATAGGGTTAGGGATAGATATGGGCGAGTTAATTACCAGAAATGAGCCTGGAATATTCCAGTTGCTCCACATAGTTTTACCAGATAGAACAGACATTCTATGCAGACATTACTACACATTTTATAATTCAAGTCTATAAGATAACCTGATCCCTGACTGTGTTAGGTCACCCCTGTAAGTGTAATTAAATTCTTAGGAAGTCAAAGTTCCAGCCCCCTCAACAAACTTTTGCACTTTTCTAGAATAGTACAGAACACATACATTATAGCAAAGAGCAAGTAAATATTGGTTTCTTAAATGTATTTAACTTCAAGACAAAAAGCATAACATAAAAACAAAATAGCAAAATAGCTAGAAACAAAAACAAAAAAAACAAAAAAAACACAGACAAAAATACAAATAACTGATAAAATCATTATGTAGATAGCAGCACAAATAAAAAAAAAACAATAGTTGATTAAGTAGACAGCTTAAATGGTAATCCAATTAAAATGTAGAATTCACTGTGTAATAGGCAAGTTCTGTGTCTATTAAAACCAGCTACACATCTTTCTGATACCAACAAGAGTTTATCAAGAAAATAGCCCCACATCTTCAACATTTCTGTAATTCAAAATTTGTCAATATAAACTGCAAAAAGGAATTTGAAAAAAAGTTGACTGAAAGTTAATTTCAGAGAATGTAACATGTGATCTCAGTTATGTCTAAACCAATGAAAATATTTGTTATAAACAATACTAACCAATGAAAATATTTGTTAAAAACAATACTAACCAATCATGAACTGCATTAAAGGATTCCTCGTTTGTGACATCGTACATTAGAATAAATCCCATAGCACCACGATAGTACGCTGTTGTTATCGTTCTGTATCTTTCCTGACCAGCTGTGTCCTGTAAAATAAAAATATATATTTTGTAATATTATATAATATATTGTATATGTATATAGTATACTGGGTTAATATAAACAAAACACGAGAGGCCAAATAGGCATGCCCTGCTCAACTACAGAAAGTAAACAATCATTGCATTGGTGATACATTTCACTTTTTCTTCAACATTATAACCTGCCCTGCAATGTTAATGACTAGGTCTTTTGTAAAAGTATCTACATCAAAACACACCCAAGCATTCTGGATGTCAGGAATATTTCAGGTTTGAAAATTTACATACTGTTAACATGGTTGGGATCTAGTTTGTACATTTTAAAATGAAATCTAATAACATAAGACTATATCTGTTACCAAATGTTCATCATACATATTCATCTTAGATTTTCCTTCAAAACTACTTTAAAGTAGTCACACTCCAGCCATAAAACAAAAGTCACACTCCAGTGTTAAAACAGTAGTCACACTCCAGTGTTACACTCCAGTGTTAAAACAGAAGTCACACTCCAGTGTTAAAACAGTAGTCAAATTCCAGTGATAAAACAGTAGTCACAATCCAGTGTTAAAACAGTAGTCACACTCCAGTGATAAAACAGTAGTCATACTCCAGTGTTAAAACAGTAGTCACACTCCAGTGTTAAAACAGTAGTCACACTCCAGTTTTAAAACAGTAGCCACACTCCAGTGTTAAAACAGTAGTCACAATCAAGTGTTAAAACAGTAGTCACACTCAAGCCTTAAAACAGTAGTCACACTCCAGTGTTACACTCAAGCCTTAAAGCAGTAGTCACACTCCAGTGTTACACTCCAGTGTTAAAACAGTAGTCACACTCCAGTGTTAAAACAGTAGTCACACTCCAGTGATAAAACAGTAGTCACACTCCAGTGTTAAAGCAGTAGTCACAATCAAGTGTTAAAACAGTAGTCACACTCCAGCATTTAAACAGTAGTTACACTCCAGTGTTTAAACAGTGGTCACACTCCAGTGTTAAAACAGTAGTCACACTCAAGCCTTAAAGCAGTAGTCACACTACAGTGTTAAAACAGAAGTTACACTACAGTATTAAAACAGTAGTCACACTCCAGTGTTAAAACAGTAGCCATATTCCAGTGTTAGAACAGAAGTCATACTCCAGTGTTAAAACAGTAGTCACACTCCAGTGTTAAAACAATGGTCACACTCCAGTGTTAGAACAGTAGTCACACTCCAGTGTTACACTCAAGCCTTAAAGCAGTAGTCACACTCCAGTGTTACACTTCAGTGTTAAAACAGTAGTCACACTCCAGTATTAAAACAGTAGTCACACTCCAGTGATAAAACAGTAGTCACACTCCAGTGTTAAAACAGTAGTCACACTCCAGTGTTACACTTCAGTGTCAAAACAGTAGTCACACTCCAGTATTATGACATAATTCACACTCCAGTATTAAACCTTTATCTACATATAAGTGATAAGACAGTTTGTGAAACTCTGGTGAGATTGTACATCAGGACATTTAGTTCAGTAGAGTTCCTGGTTACATCAGGTTCAATGATTGCAGTTCAAAGCTTGTTGTTGAACACTGAACATTATTTTAAAATGAAGAAAACCAACATTAAATCAAGAGACATGGGAAGACGAGATCCATATCATAAACTAAGTGTACTACTCAAAATGACTTTATATAGAATATTTCTAGTTTTATCATTAAACATCTCGACCAAGCAACAAATTACCATAAATATGATATTGTACACATCTTATATACAGGGAGTAAGGATCACACTGGCTGATAAGACTACTGGGTCTCCCGAGTAATGGGGGGGACACAATCCCGCTGAGTGTCCCATCACTGCTTCACTGAAGCCAAGACTCCACCAAGTGAGAATGTAGTATCAATAGGTATGACACAACAAACCTGCTACTTTTTCACATTATAAATCCTGGATATTTCCTAAATTTCAACCAGGAACCCTAAATACCACACCTTATGGACTTTCATTGGGCACCAATGCAATACAGCAAAGAAAGCACATATTCCTACTTAGCACTGACAGGAATTGAACACTGGCATGATAATTCACAGCTCTTTATAACAAGGATTTTAAATTTCAATACTTAAAAATTTTGTCAAAAATAGTAAGAATTACTATTTTAAACGTTTAAGGATATTCACAATTTCAACATTTTAAATCGTCTGTACTCCCGACCCCCGTCTCAGTTTGTATGTCGTACTAGCTCATGTACAGATAAATCTAAGTCAGGACACGTTCCTTGTATAATCCAGCAAGCAAACACAGTGAAAATTAAATCGTGCTACTACATTGATAAAAAGACTAAGTACAGTCATTACTGAAAGCCATTTCTCTTTATCCCTCACTAAATATAATCCATTTGGTTCAGATGTCACTGTAGACTACTATGTTAAACTTTCTGCCTGAACAATTTCATCTTTTTTTTCTGAAGCAAACAATTTAAGTTTCCTCTAAATAGTCATGATCAGAAGAAATGAACACAATAACAGTATATATGTTCTAATGAACAGCTAATACATAATCAAATAGGTTTTATAAATACTACATGACATGAATTATAGATGTTTTGTTAAGTGTTATAAAGTATGTTAAGCTTTTTTTTTCAATAAAAAGAATCCAAGCACGTCTGTAAAGATACAACACAATCTTACATCTACGTGTGAGTTACATTCTAAATTTATTCTGGACATGTATTGAAATGAAATTGAGTTAAACTAACTTCCAGACAGACAGGAACAGAGTGAGAGACTGAAAAACAGATTGTGTGAAAGTGAAAACAAGAGGCCCAAGGGTCTTTACGATCACCTGAGTCACAATACTTCTTGCAGCATGACATAGAAGTGATTTTGTTAAAAAAGTAATATAGCTTTAACTAAATTGTACAGATAACACAAATGTAAATTGTTCATAACATTAGCTGCTATCTCATGCTGAGGTTTCTGACCAAGTTTGGATTAAAAGAAAATTCACTCAAGATTTGAATTATCCCATATCAAATCTTCCATCCAGGAACAGTAGAACATCTTTGAAATTTCAGTCAATTTGACCCATTTTTGGCCCTGCAACACAGCCCCTCGGGTCAGCCAAGGTCAATATGTGCATCACATTAAACTGTCATCTTAAACTAATAATTCTATCCAGGTTTTAACTATTTCCATTTGACTCTCAGGTGACTCTTTCGGTCAGGTGACCTAAAAAGGCAGAGAAAATGAAAAAATGAGAGACGGAGAAACAGAATGTGTGCAAGAGACTGAAAGAGAATGTGAGACTGAGAAACAAAGTGAAAGAAAGGCAGACTTTGAAAGTGTGAGAGACTAAAATACACAGTGAAAAAAAGAAAAGAATCTGAGATAGAGTAAAAGACAGAGAAACAAAGTGGATGTAAAAAAAGAGGCAGAGAGACTGAGAAAGCATGAGAGAATGTGAGAAAGAATGAGTAAAAGTGAAAGAAAGGCACTGAGGAACTGAGAGACTAGAAAGGCACTGAGAGACAGAAAGAAAGGCACTGAGGCACTGAGAGACTAAAAAGGCACTGAGAGACAGAAAGAAAGGCACTGAAAGACAGAAAGATAGGCACTGAGAGACCAGAAACAAGGGCACTGAGAGACCAGAAACAAAGGCACTGAGTGACCAGAAACAAAGGCACTGAGGCACTGAGAGACCAGAAACAAAGGCACTGAGAGACCAGAAAGATAGGCACTGAGTGACCAGAAACAAACACACTGAGTGACCAGAAAGATAGGCACTGAGGCACTGAGAGACCAGAAACAAAGGCACTGAGGCACTGAGAGACCAGAAACAAAGGCACTGAGTGACCAGAAACAAAGGCACTGAGGCACTGAGAGACCAGAAACAAAGGCACTGAGTGACCAGAAACAAAGGCAATGAGAGACCAGAAACAAAGGCACTGAGGCACTGAGAGACCAGAAACAAAGACACTGAGAGACCAGAAACAAAGGCACTGAGGCACTGAGAGACCAGAAACAAAGGCACTGAGAGACCAGAAAGATAGGCACTGAGTAACCAGAAACAAACACACTGAGAGACCAGAAACAAAGGCACTGAGTGACCAGAAACAAAGGCACTGAGGCACTGAGGCACTGAGAGATCAGAAACAAAGGCACTGAGAGACCAGAAACAAAGGCACTGAGGCACTGAGAGACCAGAAACAAAGGCACTGAGAGATCAGAAAAAAGGCACTGAGAGACCAGAAACAAAGCAGAAGAACTAGAGGGACCAAGACACAGAAGGCACTGAGAGACCAGAAACAAAGGCACTGAGGCACTGAGAGACCAGAAACAAAGACACCGAGAGACCAGAAACAAAGGCACTGAGAGACCATAAAGATAGGCACTGAGAGACCAGAAACAAAGGCACTGAGAGACAAAAAAGATAGGCACTGAGAGACCAGAAACAAAGCCACTGAGATATCAGAAAGATAGGCACTGAGAGACCAGAAACAAAGGCACTGAGTGACCAGAAACAAAGGCACTGATAGACCAGAAACAAAGGCACTGAGAGACAAGAAAGATAGGCACAGAAAGACCAGAAACAAAGGCACTGAGGCACTGAGAGACCAGAAACAAAGGCACTGAGAGACCAGAAACAAAGGCACTGTGGCACTGAGAGACCAGAAACAAAGGCACTGAGAGACCAGAAACATAGGCACTGAGAGACCAGAAACAAAGGCACTGAGGCACTGAGAGACCAGAAACAAAGGCACTGAAAGACCAGAAAGAAAAGCACTAAGTGACCAGAAACAAAGGCACTGAGAGACCAGAAAGATAGGCACTAAGAGACCAGTAAGAAAAGCACCGAGTGACCAGAAACAAAGGCACTGAGACACTGAGAGACCATAATCAAAGGCACTGAGAGACCAGAAAGATAGGCACTGAGAGACCAGAAAGGCACTGAGGCACTGAGAGACCAGAAACAAAGGCACTGAGAGACCAGAAACAAAGGCACTGAGAGACCAGAAAGATAGG